TTCTTTTAGCTAAATGAGAAACTGTATAATTCAAAGCACCAGTAGAACGACGTCGACACGAACGTTCCGCGCGAGATATTATTTTCTCGTATGTTGAGTTGACTTCTCTCTTCGTTCCTGTATATATACATATATTTCTATCTATCTATATACTTACATATTTCTATCTTTGTCATCATCTTCTACTTCCTTTAAACGTGCTGCATAACCGTCCTCCTTTTTTGGACTTTGGATTGAGCTAACATTACAATCGTCTATTAATTGTTGGAGAACACGCCGTTAAACGCCGTTTTTCACTTCCGTTCCCTAACCGTTTCCTTCCGTTTTGACACTGATTCTGTTACGTTACACGTCGCCTTTTAACCACACATGTCCCTCGTATACTTGCGTATACTGAATTAATTTCAATCGTCACGATAGCCTCACCTCCAACCTTTCTTTCTCTCTTTCTCTTTTTTTATCTATAACGTTTTGTGTTATCTTGTTAAGCCTTCTCTACCTGCTTCTTGCGCTTCTCGTTATAACGATCAAGCACACCGTGTTATTCACAACGATTTATACCTATTTGAATAATGCGTTCGCAGAAATGAAAAACCTCTGATTTGAAATCACATTTTGAGACGACACGAATTTATAGTATTATCAGCGTGATAAAAATATAGGAGATAATTAACGAACGAATGGTTCTCGTAAAATAAAGGATATCGCAAGGTGCGACGAATCTCTCTTCTCTCAAATTTCGCAGACATTTTCTTCCCGGCACTTATCATGCTCTCGAATTCAAAATAACGCGATGCAAATGCGCGCAATGGAAAATACGGTCGCTTTTCCATACGGTTCCCCGTCGTCTACAATAACAGCAGATTCACGTGAATTTATGCCCGTCTCGAGAAGAGCTTCATAAAGCTTGGCGGATTAGTCGAGAAAGTTCGGTGAATATATACATGCCATTCGACCGTTCACTCTCCTCTCCGTTTTCTGCCTTGAACCTTCGCTCTCTTGCGCTCTCCCTCCCCTCCCCCCCCCCTCTCTCTCTCTCTCTCTCTCTTTCTTTCGCTATCGCTATCTTTCGCTCTCCTTCGCTCGTTCTGGGATTTAGCCGGCGAATTTCCGCATTGCATTCGTTATAGCGTTCGCGACACGGTTTTACGACTTTGAAACCACCCCCTCCTCTATCACCCTTCTGCCCCTCAGCAATACCTAAAACAGCCGCCGTGTCCCCGTCTCTCGTTTTGAGTTTCGCTCGTTTGACTTGAGTTCGGTTTATTTGCGCGCTTTACGATGCAGCGTGAGATATCTCGCTCTTGTACGTGTGTGAGTGTGTTGTGTGTGCGCGCGCGTGGAATGCTGTTTGTGTGGGATGTGTATGCCGCTTGCCTCGTTCTCTTAACAACGTCCAGCGAACGAACATTGGACACTCCGCTAACAATGCTTTCGGTTTTACGAGCGCAACCGGCTGCTGCGCGCGCCTGGACCTGCCCGGTCCGATACACCCGCAAGATTTCTCTCCGCTCGACGGTCGCCGATAGCGTACCGAATGATCTCGGTACATCTCTGACCAATCCGAATAGTAGTAACATCCCTAAACTTTGAGCAAAAATTGAATTGAAAGATGTATTATGAATTAAAAGATGTATCCCTGAACTTTGAGCAAAAATTGAATTGAAAGATGTACACGTATTTTATTGATAAAATGAAATTATGAAGAAATTAGATTTTTTTACATTGTATACGTATGTGTGTGAAAGTAATACAAGAAGTTTAGCAGCGGTTTAGAATTTGAATAATTATTTTAATAAGAAGTAGAGATTTTTTTAAATATTATATTTCAACGAGACATGCTTTTAAAAAATAATTAAGATAAAGTAAGAAAAGTCCTTTAATTTATAAAATAATCAAAATAGTATTGTTAAATATCAACCTCACTGAACTATATATATATATATAACACTTTTTTTTATACGGAAAGTATAAATTTTCAATTCCAGTCACTTTCTGCAAAGATTACACACCTGATATATTTTTAATTTAACCACCGTGCTGAGTTAAGCAAGTAGCGGAGTTGCAAAAAAAATTCTAAAAGGATCAGGTCGAAAGTTTCCTTTTTTTGCTCACTATTCCTTTTGCGAGAATAAAATAAATAAAACACAATTGTTAAAAAGTATTTTTTTATTTTGCGATAATGAAAGTTACTATAAAAGTAAAAGTAGCGTGTAGTATAAATGTAACGCGCAATTTATATTCGTAGTTTCGCACGTACGGATCGCTTGAAAATTTATAAATAGAAACATCTGGCGATTAATTCGATCGAGAGATAGTAAAGTCAAATGATTGTCTGTCATAACACCTGCCTGAAAGCCGCTTAAGCTTCTTAATTTCTTATCCGATCGACACGGTATCAACGGAAAAATCGATATGCCGTAATTCGAATAACACGCGCGCCCCGTCACTGTCGAAAGTCACGTTTAATTAACTAATCGCGATCGACAAGATTCTCGACAATTTCCGATCACCTCCGAGCCTGGCTTTCAGCAGACGGCGTATGCCACCCACGTAGAATTCTCCTACCCCCCGGTCGGCTCTTCGCGTCTCTCTCTCTCTCTCTCTCTCTCTCTCTCTCTCTCTCTCTCTCTCTCTTCCACGAGGCTCTCTCCGTGCGAAATCCAGAGCAAAAGAGGCTTTCGGTCGCTCCGGTGGAGGCGCCCAAAAGCCCGAACGGCCCGGGAAGGTATTATCCGATCGATAGAACGCACCGAGTTTCCGTGAGATAACGAGGGAAGGCCACGAAGCATCGATCAACCGTTTGCCGGCCTCCTTTCGAAACGCGGTTCCATCGGCATCTTGCCAACCACACCGACCCAAGTCAATCGTTCATTCCTGTGTGCATTCCAACGCGCACATAAAGTTCCCATCTCGATGGACACGATCTAAACTCGCAACAATTCCTGAACCAATCGGACCAAAGGTCTCGTCGGTTCTCGCACTGCGAAACCAAAACCGATAATCGTCAATGTAATACCGGAGGAAGCAACGGCCAACGCCTCGTGAACGCGAATCATTCACGTCTCCTCCTTGCAAACTTTGTGCGGTTTATTAAAAGTTAACCCTTTACGGTTCAAACTATTTCTCGCGAACGAGCGAAGATCAAGTATTTCGATATTAATTTCATCTTATTGGCTAACATGAAATTATAGAATTTTTTTTTTACTTATAAGAGGAGGACTAGTAAAAACTGTTCGAAATGCGGTTTATTGTAAAGGGCAGTTATTTTTGTTCATATTAAGAATTCCAAAACCTACACTAGGGAAAAACTCGAATGTTCGAAGGATCGCACCATGCACTATGTCGAGTCTGACTTGAATTGCAAACAGTTAGTATTAGCTAGCTTTGTTTCTCCTTTGAATCACGTAGAAATCAAGAGGAATATCTGGTCAGGATAAAACTACCAATCGATAGATGCGTTGAAACCGTGCGAAAGATCGAGCACTACGAACGATTTGATATCACTCGTCTCAGATTTCTGCGGGAGAGTTTACGCAACACAGGCGAGAACTCCGCAGACACATTCTATTGTCAAGCTATCCGTTACCTTCGACGTTAGATATCTTCCTGGTCTCGCTTCCGAGGTGAAGAAAGATAGAAAACGACTGTAACGAGTTCAGGTCATGGAACAAAAAGGGAGCAGCTACAGGAGGTTTTCACGCGGAGCCATTTTTCACCTTTTCAGGTGAATCAGCCGCGACATCTTCGCTTTCTTATACATATTTTCTGTTCTCCTCGAGTTCCCTGGTGTAAAACCTTGCGATTTTTCACCTCGTCTCCGCAAACTCCTACGGCAATCGATAGAAAGTCGTCGCGTTCAGAATAAATTCAGAATTTGTTTAAATTTATCGAATAGATAAAATTAATTCTCGAAAAGACGTAATATCGATATCTTTATATATATCTTCTTACTTAATAAATAATTTTCTTGTTAAGGCATACTTCTTTTTCTCTCCTTTCAATTTTGTCGTATCTCTACTATTATTTTGATCAAAATTAAAATACCTAATAATATATAACCGTTATTATCGAACGGTAATATTCGCTAAATATTTAAGAAGTAACAAAATAGTTTTTCGTTACGTTATAACCGAACGTTTGATTGACATTATTTCAACATTTGGTAGCTATTACTAGATTTTTCTCAGCGAAGTGATTCT